TCAAAATGCTTTGTCTGAATCAGTTGCGGAAGCATACATGCTAAGTTTAAATTAGGGACTCCAAAAGAGGTGAAATAGGTCATGTGTCTTTTTCATTCATAAAAAGAAAGTAAACCGAAACCACTTTCATGTGAGGAAAAAATCTTCCCGTGTTGAGTCAATGGATCGTTTTGATGGAAAACAGAACTAGTCTGCTGGATATTTTTAACACTTGAATTAGCTTAGGCAGCACTTTTGAAGCATTCTGTCCAGTTATCCAAAACATAGGACAAAGTATGTTCCGTGTTGACACCTTATAAAAAGGTAACGTTGAAGAAAAAGTGGAATTTACGAAAAACTTTCGAGAAACATCCCTCATATTAAGTAATGGCAAATTATTTTTCTGTCAAAACTACACCTACCGCCGTAGAAAAACCTCACCAAATTCTTACAAAAACGGATAATATCCTGGCAGAAAATTACCCGTTGCCGCTAAATTTACGGAACGTTTAAATTTATTTTCAGTTTCCCGTCATTTTTTTACGATTAAATTCCTTCAACCCTAAAACACTACACCCAATGCGTATTAAAATATGGGTAAAGCACCTGTCAAAATCAAGTTCAATATAAAAAATTCCTTCATATTAACTCATGAATTGTGCCGTATTTTTACAGAGTGTAGGCTACACTGTAAGGAAAGAAAATGGCAAGTTTCTGTCAGGGCATTAGATACGGACATTTATTTAACTCTAAAACACGATTCAAATAGCCTACAATAAGCAATTCAAAATATGGGTAAAATACCTGTGAAAATATGGAAAATTCCTTCATATTAACAAAGTAGGCCTACATTGGACCCTATTTTTACGGACTTTAAAGAAATACATAGCTAACTAAACTATACAAAGGCTTATGGTAGGCTATTTCTCAGTGCATCAATTTAGTGATCATTTTGAGTGAGATTTCGATTTGATTTTGATTACAAAAATTCACATTTCAAATGCTGTTTAATTATGAAAGCTTCAATTCTGTGTTTTTCTGTCAATATGGGGTGCTGTGTGTACAGTAATGAGGAAAAAAAATTAACTTAAATGATTTTAGCAAATGGCTGCAATATAACAAAGAGTGAAAAATTTAAGGGGGTCTGAATACTTTCCGTACCCACTGTATAAGGCAGTGTGCTCCAAAACAGTGACAAAATTCGCCTTTAGAAGATATAAGCATTCAAAGCTTTCAGTTCGTCACTTCCTCCAAAACGGCTCAAAGATATTTTTGACGTCACATCGTACTTCATCTTCTCATCAAATCTTCTGACCAATCAAACGCTCACTAGAAGCCGAAGCGCCCGCCCCCTACACTATAAATAGACGCTAAAGCTGCGGCTGAGATCGGTCGCTTGTTGACAGTGTAGTAATTCCTGTACAGTAAATGGCACGTAGTGTACAATGTAGGCATAGGGAACGATTCAGATAGTGTAAATATGCTGTCGACTGGGGCAAATGAGGTCTGGTTTCACGTTGTGTCACGCGAACCGCGGCAGTGCGCAGTCTGGTCCGGACTTTGGCTCCGGTCCAGAGACGCGATCGCACGGAGCGCATCATATGCGCGAGTCGCCATATATTAAACACTTTTAAAACTACACAGCCTCAGCATGATTATGATCACTATTTTGTTTTACTAAGAGTTTCATATTGAATCTAGGTGGTAATCTATTAGACTGTGACTGTCAAAAGCGGCTTTACCGAGCTCAACGGCTCTGACCCGTGCAGATATAAACTAAACGCTATTGGCTAATTTTAAAAGGGGGCGGGGCTGCTCGATATGTCCCGCCCTGTCTTCCTGTTTCAGTTGAAATTACGTCACCACATAGAATAATGCTGCTGTTTCAAGGCACTTCAGGGGACCTTTAAATGTGACCCTTAAACTTTAAACGGCTGTGATTTAATTAATCAAAGGCAAGCACAGCATGTTTCAAAATAAAAACAAATAGCTCACATTTATGCCAACTTGCCAAGTGTTGTTTCCATGATGATGAATAATGAATAGTGGTGGCAGCATCATGCTGTGGGGGTGTTTTTCAGCTGCAGGGACAGGACGACTGGTTGCAATTGAGGGAAAGATGAATGCGGCCAAGTACAGGGATATTCTGGACGAAAACCTTCTCCAGAGTGCTCAGGACCTCAGACTGGGCCGAAGGTTTATCTTCCAACAAGACAATGACCCTAAGCACACAGCTAAAATAACGAAGGAGTGGCTTCACAACAACTCTGTGACTGTTCTTGAATGGCCCAGCCAGAGCCCTGACTTAAACCCAATTGAGCATCTCTGGAGAGACCTAAAAATGGCTGTCCACCAATGTTTACCATCCAACCTGACAGAACTGGGGAGGATCTGCAAGGAGGAATGGCAGAGGATTCCCAAATCCAGGTGTGAAAAACTTGTTGCCTCTTTCCCAAAAAGACTCATGGCTGTATTAGATCAAAAGGTTGCTTCTACTAAATACTGAGCAAAGGGTCTGAATACTTAGGACCATGTGATATTTCAGTTTTTCTAAATCTGCAAATCTGCAAAAATGTCAACAATTCTGTGTTTTTCTGTCAATATGGGGTGCTGTGTGTACATTAATGAGGAAAACTTAAATGAAATGATTTTAGCAAATGGCTGCAATATAACAAAGAGTGAAAAATTTAAGGGGGTCTGAATACTTTCCGTACCCACTGTATAAGGCAGTGTGCTCCAAAACAGTGACAAAATTCGCCTTTAGAAGATATAAGCATTCAAAGCTTTCAGTTCGTCACTTCCTCCAAAACGGCTCAAAGATATTTTTGACGTCACATCGTACTTCATCTTCTCATCAAATCTTCTGACCAATCAAACGCTCACTAGAAGCCGAAGCGCCCGCCCCCTACACTATAAATAGACGCTAAAGCTGCGGCTGAGATCGGTCGCTTGTTGACAGTGTAGTAATTCCTGTACAGTAAATGGCACGTAGTGTACAATGTAGGCATAGGGAACGATTCAGATAGTGTAAATATGCTGTCGACTGGGGCAAATGAGGTCTGGTTTCACGTTGTGTCACGCGAACCGCGGCAGTGCGCAGTCTGGTCCGGACTTTGGCTCCGGTCCAGAGACGCGATCGCACGGAGCGCATCATATGCGCGAGTCGCCATATATTAAACACTTTTAAAACTACACAGCCTCAGCATGATTATGATCACTATTTTGTTTTACTAAGAGTTTCATATTGAATCTAGGTGGTAATCTATTAGACTGTGACTGTCAAAAGCGGCTTTACCGAGCTCAACGGCTCTGACCCGTGCAGATATAAACTAAACGCTATTGGCTAATTTTAAAAGGGGGCGGGGCTGCTCGATATGTCCCGCCCTGTCTTCCTGTTTCAGTTGAAATTACGTCACCACATAGAATAATGCTGCTGTTTCAAGGCACTTCAGGGGACCTTTAAATGTGACCCTTAAACTTTAAACGGCTGTGATTTAATTAATCAAAGGCAAGCACAGCATGTTTCAAAATAAAAACAAATAGCTCACATTTATGCCAACTTGCCAAGTGTTGTTTCCATGATGATGAATAATGAATATTTTGTGTAATTTATGGTGTTTAAATCATACCTGTAAACACATTTCGGCCAGGAAAGTTCTGATGGCATTTTCTTTTTGTATTGCTTACTTTATGTAGCGGCTATAATTCTGCTGTTCCACAAGCACCACCTTCTGGCAGAGTGAATTTGCATATTCACTTATCTTCACATTTTATGCAGAACCGTGTTTTAAATGTTAACTAACATATCAATAAGAAGAAAAAAAACCAAATTTAACATACATAATTTTCAGGAAGCAAAAAAACAATCTAGGGAGGGGGAGCCTACCATAATGCCTCTGGATATCTTAAGGCGCCCCTGCCCATGCCAACTCATAGATGTGTAAGTCCTCGTCCTCCCGGGTTCCTTCTTTCAAGTTAGCCTGCAAGACCGGTCTCCGCGCAAGTGCGTTCTTTGCATTCTTAAAATTGAGAAGCAGCATCTAATTCCTGGTGGCAAAGCTGAATTTACATCAGCCATTAATTGTGCTATTTAATGTTTTTTGGAACCTGTGATAGGCTTTTTTTTCTCCAGGATTCACTGATGAGTAAAAAAATTAAAAAGAACAGCATTATTCAAAATATAAATAATTTATATGTTTATATTTAGTAAGTCTTTAATATCACTTTTTTTAAATCAATTTAACATTGCTGAAAGTAGCCTAGGTATTAATTTCTTTCAAATAAATAAATAATAAAATCCTATTGACCCCAAACTTTTAAACGGCATAACACCGGTCTCGCTCATGATGCAGACTTGACTTGATATGTTCACATAGAATCCAGCTTTGGTACTAAAGTCCTGTGATAAGAGGGAAGAGGAGAATTGTGGCCAGTCTTTTGATCATACTCAAGAAACAAAACTTTGAGGTTAAAAGGAATAAATGTGCTGTGATCAGGAGTAAAAAAAGTCCATATCCTTCTGTCTTTCCTTTAAATAGGCCTATATGAAGATAAAGATGTCGGTTTTTTTCTTAACCTGCATCATGAGTGACTGGACAGCATCGGAAACTTTGTGGGTAAAAGCATCACCATCATATTCTTTCGGTTTCTGCATGGTGTGCTATAAAACAGATCAGATTCTGGGCAGACCGGTCAGAGTGAGTAGGATATCTGGTAAGTGATGTATGATTTATTTACCTATACAGATCAGACTTTCAAATTTCTTAAAGTGGCAGAAACAAGTAAATTGGATAGAAATTTACCAATATTTAGCCGACCTAAATTTGCTTGCCAACTTATCATAATTATAAACTCGAGTGGTTTGAATTTTTTTGGAATTATTATAGCTTGAATTAGTCTGTGATTTATAATGTTATAGTGATGAAACAGTTTTAATTTATTATGCTGCCCAAATTTCTCCATCATTTTGCAAACTGCTTCTGTTCTTCCATAGGTTTCGCTTTCCACTTTACGCAAGAGAAGGTGCGCAAGGCGCTCCGGCTTCTGGCTCGCTCAGTTCAAAATGTTGAAAAACTTTAGCCTGTGTAAATACTGTGAGTATTAGAGGGACATGTCCTTTTGATTTATCAAAATGCTTTGTCTGAATCAGTTGCGGAAGCATACATGCTAAGTTTAAATTAGGGACTCCAAAAGAGGTGAAATAGGTCATGTGTCTTTTTCATTCATAAAAAGAAAGTAAACCGAAACCACTTTCATGTGAGGAAAAAAATCTTCCCGTGTTGAGTCAATGGATCGTTTTGATGGAAAACAGAACTAGTCTGCTGGATATTTTTAACACTTGAATTAGCTTAGGCAGCACTTTTGAAGCATTCTGTCCAGTTATCCAAAACATAGGACAAAGTATGTTCCGTGTTGACACCTTATAAAAAGGTAACGTTGAAGAAAAAGTGGAATTTACGAAAAACTTTCGAGAAACATCCCTCATATTAAGTAATGGCAAATTATTTTTCTGTCAAAACTACACCTACCGCCGTAGAAAAACCTCACCAAATTCTTACAAAAACGGATAATATCCTGGCAGAAAATTACCCGTTGCCGCTAAATTTACGGAACGTTTAAATTTATTTTCAGTTTCCCGTCATTTTTTTACGATTAAATTCCTTCAACCCTAAAACACTACACCCAATGCGTATTAAAATATGGGTAAAGCACCTGTCAAAATCAAGTTCAATATAAAAAATTCCTTCATATTAACTCATGAATTGTGCCGTATTTTTACAGAGTGTAGGCTACACTGTAAGGAAAGAAAATGGCAAGTTTCTGTCAGGGCATTAGATACGGACATTTATTTAACTCTAAAACACGATTCAAATAGCCTACAATAAGCAATTCAAAATATGGGTAAAATACCTGTGAAAATATGGAAAATTCCTTCATATTAACAAAGTAGGCCTACATTGGACCCTATTTTTACGGACTTTAAAGAAATACATAGCTAACTAAACTATACAAAGGCTTATGGTAGGCTATTTCTCAGTGCATCAATTTAGTGATCATTTTGAGTGAGATTTCGATTTGATTTTGATTACAAAAATTCACATTTCAAATGCTGTTTAATTATGAAAGCTTGATCCAATCTTAAAGGGTTTGCAGTGTAGGCTATCAGTAAAAAAAAAAAAAAAGACATTTCAAACATAACTTCAAATAGGCCTAACTGATTTATTTTTACAGTTTAACTGTAATGTCTGTTTTCAACAGTATCTGCAGTGCTGGCACTGATCTTGGTTTTCACCTACCATTCTGGTGGAAATATGGAAGAAGACCCTCTTTTCAAATGCTTACAAGACTCTGATTATGACTACCTTCTGAAGCTAACAGAACATGGTCTCCCTCCAGCGAAGAACCCTCAGCATGTGATAATCATCGGAGCAGGTGCTGCTGGACTCACTGCTGCCAAGTTTCTGGAGGATGCGGGACATAAGGTCTCATAACACTATCTATAACACAAAGCAACATTTAACACTAACACCATAACAGACCCATGAAAACAGGATATACACATAGGAAGAGCTTTCTAAACACATCTAAACTGAAGGATACAATGACTGGTGCAAATCATGTCTCTATTAGTTACAAGAGATTATTAGAGATAATTGGTTAGGCACAGCAATATGTTTTCCCCATTTCTTCACATATGAAAAGACTAAAAGAAGTTAGTTCCAGTTATGTATTAGTTCAGTTATCTATATTGCCTGTTTAACCATTTCAGACACCAGACACATCATAGCCTTGGTCATACTTCTAACCACTTCCATATGAGATTCATGACGCGGCCTAACATAGTAACTTTCTGCTAGTTCCAAAATGACGCCTCCAATCTCATGACCTGGCTTTTCCCAACTTATACAGCGCATTAAGAAATCAGTCATTTTCAGGAAAAGAAAATGACAGTAATCAAGATTATATACAGTGGATGAAGCAGAGAAAATCCCTAGAAAATGTTTCCCTGAAGCACAGCATGATTAAATTTGATTTAAGGTTTTTCCGTAGAATCACGTCTACTTTCTATTTAATATCTGTATTATAATTATATGTCATTGTGATAATATTTCAAATAACGTAGCTCTGTTGTCTGCTGCTTTTGCCTGTTCTTTTTTCTCTGCTCTTATAGGTGACAATCATTGAGGCAAGTGACCGCATAGGTGGAAGAATTCTAACACATAGGGACAAAGAGGGCTGGTATGCAGAACTTGGTGCCATGAGGATCCCACGTTTCCACTCGTAAGTTCTTTTAAATCTTTATCCATGAGAGTCAAATTCTAGTTCCAATTCACCACATGTAACTTTCTGAGGGTAGACAGTACAATAATTAGTGTGAAACTGTATTACAGATAAACATGCAGATTTACTTGATAGCGTCATTCACAATGAATAGCATTAGCCAGATAAAAGGAAATCCAAAATGTGAAACTGACATAATCAAAGACTGCTATTCAAGTGACAGAAGGTGGATCTGCAGGCCACAACTTAATCAACTTGTTTTCAATGATATCACTTTCAAGCATTCTCAGGACTTTTGCAAATAAGCTGGGCCTGGAGTTTAGACCCTTTGTACAGGACGACAACAACACTTACTATTTTATAAACGGATTTCGTTATAAAACCTACACTGTAAAGCAGAACCCAGATGTTCTGAACTACCCTGTGCATGACCGGGAGAAGGGGAAAAGTGCCAGAGAACTGTTTGACATGGCTTTGGGCAAGGTGAGTGAAAAACATTCTTTTTATTCAAAAACACATGGATCTTGCCAGCCAAATGTTTATTTAAAGGGAGAATGAATGAGGTTAATTAATCATTTTTCTGGTAAAATCAATGACGTGAAGTCAGAATAATTAAATATTGTTAAAACAATAGATAATTTCCCCCTTATCTTACTTATTATTTATTTGCTAATATATTTTATTGTTTCTTTCTTGGATCTTTATTAGTTAAAAGATGATCTGCAGAAAATGGGCTGTGAGAAAATGTTGAACAAATATGATTCATACTCAGTTAAGGTAAAATGCCTGTAATATCTCATCAGATTTAATTAGCAATTACAATTAGCTTAAAAATATACTGGTTAGTCTAAATATGAGTACTAATGGTAGGATGTCTCTAAATCCAATCTGTTAACAGGAATATTTAGTGAACGTGGGAAATTTGAGCAGAGGAGCTTTGCGAATGATTGGTGATCTCCTGAATGAGAACAGCTTCTTCTACACGGCCCTCACTGAGACGCTCTACATCCAGTGTGATATAACTGACAATGAAACGTAAGATATTACGGTTAACCCAAACTAATGTCCTCTATACACTAGCATGCAAACATTTGGGATTTTTGCTTTTAAGGAAGTCTCTTACACTCACCAAGGCTGCATTTATTTGATCAAAATACAGTAAACACACCAATTTTGTGAAATGTTATTGCAATTTAAAATAAATATTTTCTATTTGGATATATTTTAAAATCTAATTTATTTCTATGATGGCAAAGCTGAATTTTCAGCATCATTACTCCAGTCTTCAGTGTCACATGATCCTTCAGAAATCATTCTAATATGCTGATTTAGTGCTCAAGAAGCATTCAATGTTGAAAACAGCTAAGCTGCTTAATATTTTATTTTTAGAAATCATGATACATTTTTTCCCCCAGAATTTTTTCAGCATGTCTTTACTGTTGTTTTTAATCAATTTAATGCATCCTTGCTAAATGAAAGTATTAATTTATTTAAAAGAATATTACGCCAGACTCCAGACTGGTAGTACATATCAGCTAAAATATTAACATATTCAAAATATCTACATCAATACTCTTTTTCAGGTATTCTGAATTTAAAGCTGGCTTTGAATCATTCCCTAATGCGTTCTACACTGTGCTGAATGCCACAATTCTTAAGCACTCAAAAGTCCAGGCCATCGGTCAAATGCAGAACAACGTGACAGTTTTGTACGAAGACTGGCGTAACCACGGCACCCTGACCAGCATTACTGCTGATTATGTTTTGGTGACGGCCACAGCCAAAGCAACGCTCCTCATTGACTTTAAACCTCCTCTGTCGGCTGAAAAGATGGAAGCACTGCGAGCGCTGCACTATTCCAGCTCCACAAAAGTAGTGCTGAGTTTCAGCAAAAAGTTCTGGGAGGATGACGGCATCCGTGGTGGGAAAAGCATCACAGACCTGCCATCACGTTTCATTCACTACCCCAGTCATAATTTCCCCGGGATATCAGGCGGGGCTGTGTTGGCTTCTTACACCTCCTCTGATGATGCTGCATTTCTACAAACTATAAAGGAAGAGGAGTTGAAGAATCTGGTGTTGAATGACCTGGTGAAGATCCATGGAGAACACATCCGGCAGCTCTACACTGGGGGTGTTGTGAAAAAGTGGGGAATGGATCCTTACAGCCACGGCGCCTTTGCCATCTTCACTCCATTCCAGATGAGAGACTATAGTATGTCTATAGTCCAGAATGAGGGGAGGATTTACTTTGCAGGAGAGCACACGGCCAGACCTCATGCCTGGATTGAGACCGCCATGAAATCTGCTCTGAGAGCTGCAGATAAAATAAATAACAATGCAAAGTAGGAAACAAAGCATGATGGTGTGTTTAATAATACACTAAAGACATTTTGAAAACCCTATAGTTGCCAAATGTAACCCTCTTGTGCTCTTTTTTTTTACCAGGTTTTGACTGACTACACTTGAAACGATGGATATCACAGCACTCTGCCAACCATCACCTTTGCCAGACTTTGTTATTTCCACTGCCATGATACTATTTGTCAAATACCAACTGTAAAAAAATATATATATAAAAAATTAATTCTTTAAAACCCTCTTGAGGGATGTGGTTGGCATTTTGGAGGTGTTTGATATTTTATTAAATAGTGGGTAAATATGTTAGTGATCTTCTAAGCACTTTTGCAAGAATCATGATGCTCAATACAATACAATACACTCAATACAATATATTATTATTCATTATCCTTAATTGCTAACTGTCAACATATTATGTAACAATGCACCTAAACTACAAAAAAAAGAAAAAAAAAACCTTTGACATTTATTCAGAGTATTTTTTATTTTATTTGATTATTTTAGATAACTGAAATTGTATCAAATTATTGAATATCCTGGTAGTGTATTTACACATATTATTTTATTATTAACAGCATTAATAATATCTGTTTTCTTCAACTGAAATGAAATTTGTATTTCATAATGTATTTACGTACCTTTTTGTTATACATTTACAAGTTAAGTAAATTATAAGAAATGTTAAAATGTTACATAGATTAATAAAATTTGGTATTTGGTAAACATTATTTTGTATTTTTATTATATGCGAAACAATTTGTAAAACATCAATTATAAAAAAAAATTATGAATAGGCTAACACATCTAAAACAATATGCTACATCCTCGGTTTATATATATATATATATATTCAGTCTGAATAAACAAAACGATGGCTTTAATGTTTAATGGGAACTACTCATCACTTAGATATCACCAATTCAAATTCAAACTTAAAATGGCCTTTCAATGTTTTTTTGTTTGTTTTTCTTCAATTTCACCGTTAGCTTGGTGAACTTAAAGTGACATCTCCGTGTCTGTGACCAGTGTTTACTGATGTTCCGAAAATAAGTTGAATAAATTAAAAGAACATCTATACATCAGTTCATAAATGAAATTGTTTAAATTGGTACTGCCTTGAGCTATTGTTTTGGAATAAATGTAAAGATGCTTAAACACTAACTTGATGAGATGTACTATATTAAAATTATTTAAGTATTCTAGTATATGTAAATATTTTAATCGATTTGTATTAGTATATTTGACATGAAAAGGTTAATTTCATCACACCGGCCACTGGCAGCATTAGTACATCCGGGTGCTTCCAGTGACCTTGGGTTGTTGGTGAGAAAGAATCATGGCGGCTCTTGTCAGGATAAGTTCTGTTTGCTACAGAGGTGTCCGCCGTAAGTTTGAGTGTTTTTCATGCTTTTGTTCTCGGCACCTCATTGTGTATCACAGTTCAGCTTCAAGGTCGTATGTAAAAAATAAAAAAAAAATAATAATAATAATTCTCCGTTTCATGTTAATGGCAGCACGCGTACTCGTAACGTTACTGATAGCTAGCATGCTAACTTAACCCTGTGAAACATTTCTCAACTGTCTCTCTTCTCTTTCTCTAAATTAACCAGTTATTTATATTTATGTAAAACTGTTGGTAAACGTAATAGTGTACACCGTAAGACTGAGACTAGAAGATGACATGAATTTGATCAGTGTATAAAAAGGTCTGTGTTTATATTTATTATGTTGGCTGGTTTTAAATGATTTGTCATTTCTAAGCATTGTATGAACATCATCACTGACCTCATTCGTTACAGATGAACATCAAATTAGTACATATACTTGAACTTTTAATTCTGAATACTTCTGTTTTCTTGTATTGTTTGTTCTTGTCACTTTCCACAGCTCTGTTATTTCGCTCTTCCTCCCTCATCAGACCTTTAGCTGTACAGAAGAAGGATCGTGATTGTCCATACTTGATATCAGCGAAGATACATGCTACTCCATCCAATTATGGTTAGTGATTTACATTGTGTGCTTTTTTTGTAACATTGTAAATCAAGACAGAGCTTTTTGTCTTTTCCTATCATTTTATTATTCTAATATATAGTTGACCGTACTGCCAGCCTCTCAATGGGTCTTAACATTCAGATGTCCAAATCTATTCATGGTTGTTTCATTAGTCAAGTAAATGATAATTGACAGGTGACTACAGTGTGACAGAAGATAAATGCTGAATGTGGAAATTGCTAACCATCTGTCAGTTTATCACTGGTAAAGACAGAGTGGAAACATTGGTCATTTAGAGCTACAGACTCATCTTCAGCTTTTTCTTTCCCTCTGCTGGGGTACTGGATGATTAAATGCATGTAGTAAGTGTTATTAAAGGTGATGGCTGGAGACATATACTGCAGATGTGTTGACGCACATGCTCTTTTATAAAGAACATTTGTTGTGTTACTGTTTTTTTTTTTTTTTAATAGCGGGCTCTGGGTCCAAAGCTGCTTCCCTGCACTGGACAGGAGAGCGGATCCTGAGCATAGCTCTTCTGGGCTTGGCACCCGTTGCGTTCTGTTACCCTGGCCCTGCTGTTGACTACTCTTTAGCAGCAGCACTTACTGTACACGGTCACTGGTAAGAGAATATGTTTTGATTAATGCTTGACATATTCAAAATGAAATTGTCCTTTGCTGTTGATTTTTTTAGTCTTGCTTTTTTTCTGGAATATGTTGAGCTGTTGGGAAAAATTCAGATTAACTATCAGTAAATGTTGCCACAGTCAGTTGTTAATATTCAGTATGTGCCTGTTGTAATTCCATATGAAGTTTCAGCTTTGCAGTTTAGTAATTGACAGGTCAGATTCAATTGATTGTTGTACTATTTCATTAAAAATAGTTTCTGACACAAAATGAAGGTGTCTGCTTTGGTCTGCAAAGCCAAGTCATAGGCGGCTGTAACACCCTTCGTGCAAGGATTTAACCTCCCTGTGGACATATGCACTCAAGGCCATGCTTCTAATATTAGCTGTTAGTTACAGCAGGGTCACATAAGTACATATAGTTTGCATTTTTTTTTAAAAACAAACAAAAAGGTTTCATTTGGGTGTAAATGTGGTAACAGCCTGGCTTTTAAACATGTTTGAGCCTGGATCTAGAAGGTTTTACCATTTAAGTTTGATCAAATACCAGATATGCTTGCAGCATATTTCGAACTTCCTTTTAAACAAATATATTTTTAAAAACTCAAGTATATATTTAAATTTGACAGTATTTGGCCTTTTCTTTTAATGGTTTTAATTTATTATTTAATTGATTATCATTAATAATGATATAGGTACAGATAAAAGTATAGATTTCTGCAATAAGAGGTTATTTTGTATATTGTAAAATATCTTGGACATTACTTTTGACTTTGAATTTAATTGATTATTTTAGTGCTTCTTGTCCTGTTGTACTTTAACACCTTCTTACAGTGTTTGCAGTGATGTAATGATTATTATAGGGACCTGTTCCAACATCTGATTATGTTTGTAGAGCCCTGCACGGGCCTCAAATTTAGGCCCTAGCCCGGCCCAGGTCCAACAGCTCATCAGAATTCTTGGCCCGAGTCCGACCCGAGCCCATCTTTCCCCCTCCAACCCCTTCTCCCAAAACAGCTTATACTACTGTTTCAGCTATTAAAATAGTTCAGTTTTGTATGTAATGTCAAAGTGATTATATTTTGTTTTGTTTATTAAGTTAATTTAGAAAAACGTTTGGATTTCGTAACGTTACTGATAGCTAGCATGCTAACTTAACCCTGTGAAACATTTCTCAACTGTCTCTCTTCTCTTTCTCTAAATTAACCAGTTATTTATATTTATGTAAAACTGTTGGTAAACGTAATAGTGTACACCGTAAGACTGAGACTAGAAGATGACATGAATTTGATCAGTGTATAAAAAGGTCTGTGTTTATATTTATTATGTTGGCTGGTTTTAAATGATTTGTCATTTCTAAGCATTGTATGAACATCATCACTGACCTCATTCGTTACAGATGAACATCAAATTAGTACATATACTTGAACTTTTAATTCTGAATACTTCTGTTTTCTTGTATTGTTTGTTCTTGTCACTTTCCACAGCTCTGTTATTTCGCTCTTCCTCCCTCATCAGACCTTTAGCTGTACAGAAGAAGGATCGTGATTGTCCATACTTGATATCAGCGAAGATACATGCTACTCCATCCAATTATGGTTAGTGATTTACATTGTGTGCTTTTTTTGTAACATTGTAAATCAAGACAGAGCTTTTTGTCTTTTCCTATCATTTTATTATTCTAATATATAGTTGACCGTACTGCCAGCCTCTCAATGGGTCTTAACATTCAGATGTCCAAATCTATTCATGGTTGTTTCATTAGTCAAGTAAATGATAATTGACAGGTGACTACAGTGTGACAGAAGATAAATGCTGAATGTGGAAATTGCTAACCATCTGTCAGTTTATCACTGGTAAAGACAGAGTGGAAACATTGGTCATTTAGAGCTACAGACTCATCTTCAGCTTTTTCTTTCCCTCTGCTGGGGTACTGGATGATTAAATGCATGTAGTAAGTGTTATTAAAGGTGATGGCTGGAGACATATACTGCAGATGTGTTGACGCACATGCTCTTTTATAAAGAACATTTGTTGATGTTACTGTTTTTTTTTTTTTTAATAGCGGGCTCTGGGTCCAAAGCTGCTTCCCTGCACTGGACAGGAGAGCGGATCCTGAGCATAGCTCTTCTGGGCTTGGCACCCGTTGCGTTCTGTTACCCTGGCCCTGCTGTTGACTACTCTTTAGCAGCAGCACTTACTGTACACGGTCACTGGTAAGAGAATATGTTTTGATTAATGCTTGACATATTCAAAATGAAATTGTCCTTTGCTGTTGATTTTTTTAGTCTTGCTTTTTTTCTGGAATATGTTGAGCTGTTGGGAAAAATTCAGATTAACTATCAGTAAATGTTGCCACAGTCAGTTGTTAATATTCAGTATGTGCCTGTTGTAATTCCATATGAAGTTTCAGCTTTGCAGTTTAGTAATTGACAGGTCAGATTCAATTGATTGTTGTACTATTTCATTAAAAATAGTTTCTGACACAAAATGAAGGTGTCTGCTTTGGTCTGCAAAGCCAAGTCATAGGCGGCTGTAACACCCTTCGTGCAAGGATTTAACCTCCCTGTGGACATATGCACTCAAGGCCATGCTTCTAATATTAGCTGTTAGTTACAGCAGGGTCACATAAGTACATATAGTTTGCATTTTTTTTTAAAAACAAACAAAAAGGTTTCATTTGGGTGTAAATGTGGTAACAGCCTGGCTTTTAAACATGTTTGAGCCTGGATCTAGAAGGTTTTACCATTTAAGTTTGATCAAATACCAGATATGCTTGCAGCATATTTCGAACTTCCTTTTAAACAAATATATTTTTAAAAACTCAAGTATATATTTAAATTTGACAGTATTTGGCCTTTTCTTTTAATGGTTTTAATTTATTATTTAATTGATTATCATTAATAATGAAATAGGTACAGATAAAAGTATAGATTTCTGCAATAAGAGGTTATTTTGTATATTGTAAAATATCTTGGACATTACTTTTGACTTTGAATTTAATTGATTATTTTAGTGCTTCTTGTCCTGTTGTACTTTAACACCTTCTTACAGTGTTTGCAGTGATGTAATGATTATTATAGGGACCTGTTCCAACATCTGATTATGTTTGTAGAGCCCTGCACGGGCCTCAAATTTAGGCCCTAGCCCGGCCCAGGTCCAACAGCTCATCAGAATTCTTGGCCCGAGTCCGACCCGAGCCCATCTTTCCCCCTCCAACCCCTTCTCCCAAAACAGCTTATACTACTGTTTCAGCTATTAAAATAGTTCAGTTTTGTATGTAATGTCAAAGTGATTATATTTTGTTTTGTTTATTAAGTTAATTTAGAAAAACGTTTGGATTCGTTAAATGTAAGTTTTTGTTTTTTAAAGTAACGACCAAGCGGCTAGCAGCAGACAGTGAGCTGATAGCCTATGTTTGATCAATTTAGCCTTCTCAAATCATCACGACTTACCTAAGATAAAATCTATAGATATAAAACAGTTCAAGCATATCACAATGTTAGTTTAAATGTTTAACCTATATAAATGGGCGCTATTAGACGCATATCTACTCGTTTGTGTGGAGAGCTAAAGCGCGCTTTACAGGAAATGGAGGCGCCGGCGCGATCACTTGCATTGGAAACAACTTAAAATATGCCGTCATTTTTGCTCATAAAGGTAACAGTAATACATCATTCGGAACTGTAAAGGGTCTACTTTTTATTTGTGTGCACTCACAATATCAACAAAATGTTGTGCTTTTATAAAATAAAGGATACATACAGGATGCGCTTTCTGCAATTACGGCCAGGAGCGTTTCACAATGATGAACCGAAACTCAGCGAATACTTGCCTCAAAAACTTGCTAAATACATCTATAGAAAGCTTTAAATTACTACTTTAAAACAAATCGAAAACAAAAACTCTTTCATTATAAAATCCGTAAAGATGCACTTCTCTTTAAAGGCGCGTCTAATGAGGAGATGGTGAGTCAGGATCGTCATCTTCATCTTCATCTTCATCTTTGCGACACGGACTCAGAAAACACTAATTTATTAATAAATAATTCAAATTTTTCCTTACTATTTTCCCCCGCCACATTCATGGTAATTACTTTTGCTGGGGCTTTGCGGTACGCTTTAGCCTATTGTGTGCATTTGTTTGCTGTTATGTGCAAGGATATGTTTGCAGATTCTACACTGCACATGACCAATTGGCTCACTGTTTGCCGTGGTAATCAAATCAAAACTCTTCCAAAATGCAGCTTTTCCCGAAGCATTGGGAACTTTTAGTAACTCCCCACACTCCAACTTCTCCCTGATGCTCTGCATGGTCAACTGTCACCTGTGTGCTATGCGTGCGTATATGCGTTGCGTATTGCGGCGATGTATAATATTTATAATATAATCAATATAACAATATTTCATACAGCCTGTGTAGGCCTGTCGCAATAATCAATATATCGACTTATCGCGCAATATATGTACATGACCTCAATCATTTTTAGTGACGCAATATATCGCCCATTATATTTACTTAAATTAATGTCACCATGTTTTGTACATTCCACTTGCGCCTGTGTCTTTTGCAGCTTCTACATAACGTGGTGTAGTCATCATGAGGTGCTAGTTCAAATTTTAAAAAAAAGCTTCTACAAACAAAGTTTCATCTGCAGATTTGGTCTTGTTTAGGGATCTGTGCCTTTGTGCATACAGACATCTGACTGCTAAGTAGTGATTGTGTTTTTCAGCAATAGTGTGCAGCCTTAATTTACGAGAGAAAATGAGGTCAGAGAAAAATCTGTAGATGGAAAAATCTCCATACAAGGTCTTTGTGCATTTTTCATTTTTTTTTCTACTTGTTATTTTGCACTTTTCGTTAAATGTTTATTTACTATTTATTCAAGTTTTTTAAGGTATCTAATATTTTGATACTTAATTTCCATGATCTAAATATTCTTAAAAATTAAAAGTTTGTTGTCATTTGGAAGTGTGTAGGCCTTCTTGCCTTTATTATGCTGTTACATTGATTATATATTCAGTGGCATAAAATGGTCTTTAAAATGACAATAATATCGCTTATCGCAATTATTTCTAGGGCAATATATCGCACAACAAAAAGATGTTATCGTGACAGGCCTACCTATGTGTGCTCTGTGCGTATATGGCCATAATAAAAGGAGAGAAGCTGAATGAGCCCGAGTCCGATCTGTAAAAAAACAAAATGACCTGAGCCCGCCCGGCCTGAATGGACTTAGCGTGTCGGGCCCCATCGGGCTTGCAGACCTCTATATGTTTGGCTTCTTGAAAGCCAAAAGTACATGTCTCAGATGGTTACCAAAAATGTTGGAGCTTAAATGTATGAATCGAATATTCAACAGCCCAGATATTTAAATTGTATAGGAGAAAAGAGAGTTGATTAATCAATTAAGGAATAATTCACCCAAAAATGAAAATTTGCTGAAAATTTACTCGCCATCAGATGTCGATGAGTTAGTTTTTTTCCCCCATCAGAACAGATTTGGAGAAGTTTAGCAATACATCACTAGCTCAACAATGAATCCTCTGCAGTGAATGGGTGCCGTCAGAATGGGAGTCCAAACAGCTGATTAAAAACATCACAATAATCCGCATGACTCCAGTCTATCAATTAACATCTCGTGAAGTGAAAAAACTGCTTGTTTGTATTAAACAAATCCGTCATTAAGACATTTTATCTTATTTAATAATTGTCGCTTCTGGCCACAATACGAGTCCATAATCCATAATAAAGCTTCCTCCAGTGAAAAAGTCCATCCCCTATTGTCCTCTCACATCAAAATCCAATGACATTTGTTTAGAACTGTTTTCACTTGTAAACAGTTCTTGGTCTGTGCATGTTTTTCCCCTGATTCAGATGAGACAGCTTTTTCACGAGAGGAAACAATGTTATGAATAGAAGACTTGTATTTTGGCCAGAAGCAACAGTTAAAAATGTCTTATTGATGAATTTATTACAAAAAAATAAACTTTTTACTTCACAAGACATTAATTGATGGACTGGAGTTATGTGGATTATTGTGATGTTTTAATCAGCTGTTTGGACTCTCATTCTGACGGCACCCATTTGCTCCAGAGGATCCATCGGTGAACAAGTGATGTAATGCTACATTTCTCCAAAACTGTTGCTATGAAGACACAAGCTCATCTACACCTTGGCTGGCACAAGAGTGAGTAAACCTTAAGCAAATTTTCACTTTTTACTATTCCTGTAACATGAATATCCATAACAGCCATTATTTAAAAAAAGGGCATTGCATTTTATTGTGTTTTTTTCAGGGGTCTTGGCCAGATTGTGACAGATTACGTTCACGGAGACTTTAAAATCAAGATGGCTAATGCTGGCCTCTTCCTTCTGTCGACCGTCACCTTCGCCGGCCTGTGCTACTTCAACTACCATGACGTGGGGATTTGCAAAGCTGTGGCCCTCTTGTGGAGTAAATGACTGGACTGAGATGAGGGCACTGTGGGATCCGCTTTCGGCATCAGAGTTCCAGTTTATTGTATACAGTTGTGACATTAAATGTAAATTCTATGAATATATAATTTTTGCCAACATTGTGTTGATTTGCAGGTGTTTTTAATTGTTAATGATTTCAGTTTGTTCAGAAGATGCTCAGCTTTTGCTTAAAATGGAAATCTGCATGCCGTCCACTCTCTTGTCTGGCAAATCAGTGTTTCTGATGCAGCTAAAGCAACAAATTATTGTGGCTACAAGATGCTGGTCACTGTATTTGAACTTGAAAAATCATTACACTAATAATACTACATTTTTACAGGAACATGATCAGGTAATAAATGTTTTGGCTATATTTATATTGCATAATGTCTTTTTGTCAGCCAGTATCTGATGTGTTAAAACAATATCTTGACTCAAGTTGGTTGTCATTAGAGCATATGCAGAATTAGCTTTACACAGGTATTTGAAAATGTACCTTCATAGTCCTCCATTAATGACCACATCTGGAGAATTGTCACATTGACAGTGTTTCTGCTTCACACTTTGCATGGCTGTATTTCTGCTCAAGTAAGTAATCGTTCATGAAAGGAAATGTGTAATTGAATGTGCTTTGCACTAAAATCAATGTATCTACATCTTTCATTTTAAATTGCTTAGATGTACTTTAAACAGGTAAAACTGAGCTTGTGTGGGTAATGCAAATAGAATCTAAATGACAAAATGTGTGTTTTGGGTCTAAGGGTTTCTAGAGATATTTTTTCCTGACTGACTTTGATGGAATACATTTTGGACTGAGATTTTGCAAGTCCTGTTATCATGCTCTTATACACTTCTGAAAACGACATCATCGAGTCTGGCCGCACTTGTGTCTGTTTAAAGTGCTATGGAGATTTGTGTAATAAATCTGTATGACTAGATTTCTATGCAGATTGAAGTTTTGGGTACAATTGTGCGCTTAAGAATAAAGGCAGTTTTTTTGGATTATATTGTTTCTTTTGAGTGAACAGAGTTTTCCACTGTACACAACTGTACTGTGTCACAACAGGCGAAGTTCAAAGATTAAATACCTGAATGTGCATTTTACAATTCTCCAGTTTTACCAAATATTGAGTTTCAGTGTCATTTCAAGGGTCTCGGTGGTCCTTAGTAAGTAGCCAAATTTTAAAATTACTCGAGGGAAAAAAATTAATTATGTTCTATAAACTAAACATGTATTCTCTAAAACTAGCTGATAAGGCCTATAGCTAAGGTTATAAAGTTTGAATTAGGATCACAGTATTCAGATTAAACAACAGTTTTGTTTTAATATGCTTTTTATTAACACTAGATGGGAGTCCAAGATTGCTCAAACAATATCATGCAAGAAAATCTAATCTGGTTTGCAGGTGAAGCACATGAGTTTACAACCATAAAAAGACGTAATCTGCAAAGATGTATTTAATGAAACCAAATGTCCAGTGCAAACAGTTATAGATAGAGTGCAGTTCTTGATAATCACTGATGAGCTCACAAGAACATGACACTTCTCACAATGACTGAAAAAATAGTATCTGTAAGTAATCTTTTCAATGCTGCTTGATTATTGTTTGATATTGATCAAATACATTTCAGATATTGGATACTATATAAAGAAAATTATCCATTTTAGAGCAGTATAATTAAGCAGTTTTCAGCAGTCATTACTCCAGTCTTCAGTGTCACACAATCCTTCAGAAATCATACTAATATGCTGCTCAAGAAACACTTATTAAATCAATGTTGAAAACAGTTGTGCTGCTTAATATTTTTGTGGAAGCGGTGATACTTTTTTAGGATTCTTTAATGACTAGAAAGTTCTAAAGAACAGCATTTATTTGAAGTCTTTTTATCTATATATATATCAAAATTTGACATTGTTGTTGCAGCCATGTCAGAGAACTATGTGGTATTCATCGAGCAGCCAATCAAAATAGATCTCTTGAAGATTGTGACAAGCAAAATGCGTGGAAAGGGGATTAATGAGGGTGTATACTGGGACCCCAAACGAAACACAGTTTTCCATGTAATCAATAAACACACAGGAAAGGTAACTACTGCTAATAACTCCACACTGCGTAACAATGTTTTTATGTACATTTATTTCATATAACTCATTTTGAAATGATTCTGCTTCGGTCACAGCTGAGCCTCATCAAATATTACGCAAAGCCATTGTCAACCTTCCATCAGATAAACTGTTATGAAGAAAATGGTTTCCTGATCATGGACATGTGCTGTTCTGATGATGGTCAAGCAATTAACAACTACCTGATTCAGAATCTAAAAAAGTCTGGAAATGCTCTAGATGAGGTAAAACCTTTTTTGAAGTTGTAAATGCAAAAAAGATGATTGGAGTACGTTTTACAAGAAAATACTATTTTAGCCTTTCTACTTAAACATGTCACGTCTAATTGAATGTGTTACTTGGCGATTCTTTGTAAATATTTGTGAAATTATGAGCAATTTCTGAGTGAAAATTCTTTCTATGCAAGATTTCTTTTCACTGTACTTCAGTGTTCAGTGTTTTTTTTTTTTTTTTTGCTAGGTATACAACACAATGTGCAGAGTGTTCCCCCGCCGCTTTGTCCTGCCATTGAACGTGGACAGTCATACACCCTGTGGGCAAAATCTCAACACGTGCTTGAACAGCACTGCAACAGCCATCAAGACAGACAAGAATAAGGTTGGTTTATTTGGATAACTTTTTGTCTAATTTATCTACATGCTTTTATATCATATATTGTAAATGATTGTCCATGTGTATTTATACAGGTGTTTTGCACGCATGAAGATCTCCATGGTGATGATCTCAGTGAATATGGAGGTCTGGAATTCCCACACATCAACTATTCAATGTGCAATTCCCGCCCCTACCTTTACTTCTACGGATGTGGCTTCAGACACCTGGTTGGAGACTCCCTCATTAAAATGGACCTTCAAGGCAAACAAATGAAGGTTAGTTAGAAGTATTAAGTTAATGCATGCTGAAATTGTGTCAGTGACTTTTAATGTTTAGTCATTTGAACTAATATTTCAACTTATGACAGGTGTGGAAACATGCAGGCATGTATCCCTCAGAACCGATCTTTGTCTCATCACCTGGTGCTGTAGAAGAGGATGATGGAGTCATTCTGTCCGTGGTCATCACCCCAAATCAGGTATAACGCGCCATGTTCCTCAGTGGTATCAAATATTGCTTGATAACTTTTATGGATGGACTAATGAACAATTGTCCCTCTAGGACAAGAGCACCTTCCTTCTGGTGCTGGATGCAAAAAGATTTGAAGAATTGGGCCGGGCTGAGGTACCTATCAGCATTCCATATGGATTCCATGGGACTTTCCAAAATAGACACTGAGAGACTCTTTTAAAAAGCCCAAATGTTTAGCAAGATGATCAAGCTGTCTGTGAATAACCTACTTTTCCCTTTCTACTTGTGTTGTTTTCTCCCTTGAATTAATAACTTGTATTATATAATTTCAATAACTTTAAAAATAATGTCTGCTAAAAGAATAAGAATTTATTCAAATAACAAATGCTTGTATATATATGCAGTTGTTCACTACAGATTGTTGCTGTCACCACATATAAAGCTTTATTTCAGCATAAAACCTATTTTTCTCTTATTTTAAAGTATAATTATATAACTTCTAAAGTGTAATATGAACATGTATAATCAACATTTTAACAATATCTTATGAACTAATGCTTGTAGAGCAAATGAGATGCATTATGTGAATCAAACAACACCACTGAAAAGAACTGAACCTATCCTTGTAGTTTGTCAGAAATCAAAGCCAAAGATCGTCTCAGGTGTTCCTTCTTCTCTTTAAGATGAGATTCCAAGCTCCTGGCTTCAGTAAGAATATCCTCCAGTTCTCCGAGCTGTGAAGCGTCCACAGCAGCTCTTTCCCTTAGAAGATAACATGTGAAATTAATGTACGAGTGTAAACCTTATTGATCTATTACTGATGAGACACAGGGGTAGCATGCAAATCCATCCAGTTACCTCAAGACCTCTGAGTACTTGGAAAAGAGGACACTGACCTCTCGGTTAGCCTCTAAAATGTAAAGACATACAGAAAAATGAATGAATGTAACTAAAATAGCTGTCATGATATATTATGCTACACAACCTCACATATGCTAAATAATTAATAAAGGTATTTAATTGAGAGGTATTTTAGAGGTACTTAATTGTCACAGGTCAGAGGTATTTAAGGTATTTAATTTGACACAGAGTTCCTACACATTTTTCAAATCAAAATTCCATACTTTTCCAGACTCAAATTTCCAAACCTCTCAGTAGATTTTCAGACCATATTTAACATAAATGGTTCATTATTTTCAGCTTTATATTTGGTATATAGTACAGTCATCTGTACAAAAAAAAAAATTCAGGGGTTTATTTATTGATTTTCTTGAAGTGACAACATACAGACAGCCCCTAAAAAAAACCAGCACGCACGCACACGAGAAACTTTTTTCTGCCTTCAAGAAACTTTTGACATGCGCATGGGAATTTTTTGTGTGCTTACGCATTACAATTTCTAGTTTTATATAAACTATAAACGATTTCCTTTGTGCGCCACGAGTGTAAACCTTATTGATCTATTACTGATGAGACACAGGGGTAGCATGCAAATCCATCCAGTTACCTCAAGACCTCTGAGTACTTGGAAAAGAGGACACTGACCTCTCGGTTAGCCTCTAAAATGTAAAGACATACAGAAAAATGAATGAATGTAACTAAAATAGCTGTCATGATATATTATGCTACACAACCTCACATATGCTAAATAATTAATAAAGGTATTTAATTGAGAGGTATTTTAGAGGTACTTAATTGTCACAGGTCAGAGGTATTTAAGGTATTTAATTTGACACAGAGTTCCTACACATTTTTCAAATCAAAATTCCATACTTTTCCAGACTCAAATTTCCAAACCTCTCAGTAGATTTTCAGACCATATTTAACATAAATGGTTCATTATTTTCAGCTTTATATTTGGTATATAGTACAGTCATCTGTACAAAAAAAAAATCCAGGGGTTTATTTATTGATTTTCTTGAAGTGACAACATACAGACAGCCCCTAAAAAAAACCAGCACACACGCACACGAGAAACTTTTTTCTGCCTTCAAGAAACTTTTGACATGCACATGGGAATTTTTTGTGTGCTTACGCATTACAATTTCTAGTTTTATATAAACTATAAACGATTTCCTTTGTGAGCCACTGCATCTTATATGAAGAAAATGAGAGCATGGATTCACATGAATTAATAGAGATATATTTGCTCAAACTTTGGCTTTCCTTAGGGTAGTACCTCTAATATCAAGGCCTAATGTCCAATTTAATGCATCCTCTGTGGTGACGGAGAAACAATGACATGAAATGGGCTGATGGCATAATACGGTTGTGTGCATAGTCCTATTTGCCAAGTTCAAGGGTCTATAAAATAAGACTGGTACCGTAAAACAGTGTTTAAAATTTGGCTTTCTTTAGGGCAGTACGTCATATTTCAAGGCCTTACGTCTGCTTTAACACAAACTCTGCGGAGGCCAAATAACCACACCGCAAAATGGGCTGATGGCACAAAGGCTCAGTGTGCATTGTCCTATATGCTAAGTTTAATCGTTTCTCGAGCGCACACGAAAGTCTGTATATTTTTTATTTTTGCAAAGATCCTTATAGAGGCTCTCTAATACGGTGCTAAGAATATTGTAAGAAGAAACCCAAAACTCTTATCCACCTTTTTCTTCAACGCGGAAGTAAGCCTATGGGTGAGACTTCCGGTTCATTAGCCGCTATAGGTAAATAACGAGGAGAATAACAACGTGCAGTAAACGGTAAAACTGTTTGCACTACAAACCAGTGTGTTTATAATTTCAGATAATACATTAAAATAATATAAGACACACCGACTTTCAATATCAAGCAGCAAAACGAACTGCTTTGTTCAGCTAAAAATAGCTGGACGGAGTGGACGCAGATGAGACCGGAAGCCAGACCCATATAATTTACAAATGGCCGCGCCCATTTTTACGACAAGAAAAAGGTGGATAACCTGCATTTTTGCATAATGGAAAAAGTGCACTTTGAATTTGTTCAGTCGTGTTTGACAATCAGCTGCCATGAAAACACTCTTCTTGTATGATACATTTATTTTCATAAAATTGTATATTATAGAAAACTAAATAGTCTGGAAATGCACATATTTTCCATACTCTGCTTTCTTTTTTCCATATTACAAACGGCGTAGGAACCCACAGCATGAAAGAGAAAACCAGGACTTGCCTTCTAACGCTATTTCAAACCCATAAGACATGTCTCCAGCTGCTGATTTGAAATGCTGTGCCTTCATCATTTTTGCTGGCGATGTCTCAGAAAATGGTGCATTTTCAACCTACATGTACATTTGTGAGAAAAAAAAAGTCAGAAATCAGACAATTACTTACGAGAACACAGAAGTTAACAGTGGGCTGTATTGTGTGACTGTAGATTTCTTTCACAAGATTAGTTCAGTTCATGACCTAAAATCCTCACCTCACGTGTTTTCGCTTGAGACCTTTTCATTTCTGTTGCTCTGACCGCCTCTTTAGTGCTCTCCAGACTGCGTTGTGTCATTACTTTCCTGTGTCCGAAGAAGAAAGTGTTTTTAAAGATAATATCCCCACTTTAAAGTCAACAAAGCCGTCTTAAACAACAATCATGTTAGGACAAACAGCTAGGTATTTATTTATTTGTTATTAATTTTTTTTTTTTTAACTTATTTCAGTAACTGAATCTTTTGTCCACGGATCTCACAAGGATGAAGCTTATCGCCACACGTTTGTTACACAAGAGCTGACGCGTTTGACTTTTGAAAAGTACTTACATTAAATCAATATCTCTGACAAAAAGGGTGTTAGTTAATAATAGTTAATAAACTAAAATAAATACCAGAAAATCGGTAGCCTTCGATAAACTCGGTCGCTCGGCCACTGCAGCTCAGTTCAGTTCACCTCTCTGACCAACCGCCGCTTTTCAACCGTCAATAATCGCGCGCTCACAGAAAACGCGCCAATTGTACTGTACTGTACTGCACTGAGGGTATAACTCTAATCTCTCCCTGAGAAAGTAGACACCACTTAAGACTGATTACTCCGATGCAATTTTTAGTGGTAAAATTAGTCCTCTTTAAAAAATATAATGCCTTTACAAATTCTCACCAGCAGATGGGGGCTTTGGACAACTCAAAACAAGGCGATGAGCTCAAGAGGTGATGAAAGATCCTGCAAAATATCATTACAGTATAAGGGTGTTGTGGTTGTATCTTATTTGATTTAAACCTTAAGTGTTGGCCGAAAATGACTTTCTGACCCCTTATATCTGAATGAAAATCCATTTTCAATAACGCAATAATGATGTTTTGAGCTTATAGCAATTAGTTTGTTTTTAATAATAATAAAAACAACTGTTTAATAAAAGTCTAAATGTAACCCATATTTGAAGAACTAAGTATGGCCTTTCACCTTTGGCCTTTCAGCATGTTATGTATAGCTTTAAATCGTTTTTCAGTTTTGATCCAAATATATTTTACTACAACAAAAACATCCTGTGTTATTTATACATGTAGATCCTTTTTCTAGACTACCAATTTGTTGTAAAATATTAGTGCTGTCAAATGGTTAATCGCGTCCAAAAGTTTTTGTTTGCATAATATATGTGCGTGTACTATGTATAGGCTATTTATTATGTATATATAAATACACAAACATACATGTATATATTTTTAAAATATTTGCATGTATATATTTATATTCATATATAATTTAGATTATATATAAATATAAATATTTTATATATAAACAAAACATATTTTTTCTTAAATGTATACCTGCATGTGTGTGTGTGTGTATTTATATATACATAATAAATATACACACAGTACACATTATGTAAACAAAACTTTTATTTTGGCTGTATTAATCATGATTAATCGTTTGACAGCACTAATCTATACATACATATATATATATATATATATAATTGAAATCAAGTTTGGTGAAGTTGGCCATTTATTTTCCCTTCAAAAAGCAATTAAGAATTATTATTATGATTACTATAATAATTAATTTATACGTTTACCAAGTCAACTTCATTTGCCAGAGATTTAGGGATGCTGCTGATGTAAAACGTTCTTTCTGTGAAACCTTTCCCTGAAACATCTCTTATTTTGGTCTTGCCAATCTACAGTTTATAGTGAAACAAAACAAAACATCATGTGCCATCATGTGCCATCTGTATCCATGGTAATGTGTGTGAATGCGGTTGACCGCTAGAGGCGCCCTGTCGCACATCACATTCAACATACACAAACATGGCGTCAGGGCAGACACGCAAGATGCTGGCGCTCACTCGCTGTGCCATATATCTGTTATTATTACTCGTTCCTGGAGCGATCTCCTCCACGCTGCGACTTCACCATGACCAGAGATTCATGCCACCACAGGACAGGGGTTTCTCCCTAGTGCGTGCACACCTGGAGCATGCAGAGAGTCGCGTCGTGCGTCTGGAGAGAGAAGTCAGGGAGGCTTCATCATCCGCGCACCAGCATCGCGTTCGGCGGAATGCTGCTGGATCACCCGTGCCAAAGGTTTATGGAAGGGTAAGCGAGGTTTACATTCATTAGGTGTGATTGCATAGATAACAAGGGCAAAAACATCCTCACGATTTTGCATAACCTCATAAATATTAAATCCAGTATTCCCAATAGTTGTGTATCATTCACCTTTGGTTTGCACGCAGTCACCTAGAAGTGTAATTGACCTGTTTGTCCGGTGAAAGGTTCTCGCACTCCCCTTCATCTTGCAAAATATTGCTTCTCCGTTGAGGGTAAATAATTATAAATAATATATATAGACATTTTTACAGCACTGACTTGAGTGAATCTGTCATGGGAAGGTTTCATCATTACCCACCGAATAAACAGTATCACCTTTCTCTCGTACCTGATATGACAATAAAGATATTTGATACCAAAACAAATATTTCTCTCTCTCTCTTCTCTTTCTCTCTCTTTTCATTATCTCTCTCTCTCTCGCTCTCTCTTTCCCTCACTCTCTCTCTTCTCTTTCTTTCTTTCTCTCACTCTTTTCTTTCTCTCTCTTTTCATTATCTCTCTCTCTCTCGCTCTCTCTTTCCCTCACTCTCTCTCTTCTCTTTCTTTCTTTCTCTCACTCTTTTCTTTCTCTCTCTTTTCATTATCTCTCTCTCTCGCTCTCTCTTTCCCTCACTCTCTCTCTTCTCTTTCTTTCTTTCTCTCACTCTTTTCTTTCTCTCTCTTTTCATTATCTCTCTCTCTCTCTCTCTATATATATGAAGTATTATTGATTGAGACATTACGTAGCCTATTATTTTGAATTCTCTCTCTCGCTCTCTCTTTCCCTCACTCTCTCTCTTCTCTTTCTTTCTTTCTCTCACTCTTTTCTTTCTCTCTCTTTTCATTATCTCTCTCTCTCGCTCTCTCTTTCCCTCACTCTCTCTCTTCTCTTTCTTTCTTTCTCTCCCTCTTTTCTTTCTCTCTCTTTTCATTATCTCTCTCTCTCTCTCTCTCTCTCTATATATATATGAAGTATTATTGATTGAGACATTACGTAGCCTATTATTTTGAATCAGTTTTAATTTATTGTAAGTTTTATTATTAAGCATTAGGTCTGTGGAATATATCGAAATATCGCAAATGTACATATCGCAATATGCATATCGCTACAGCTTGCAATATTTGGGGCCATGAACAAAAGAGAAAATCACTCACTGCTCTTACCTAAATAACTTTTGTAGCTTAAATAAGAATCAGTGCATATTGAATTCAAAGAGTAAATACTAAGCAGTGTTTTATTTTTCCTTTTTATTATTCAGTTCCTAAACTCATGTTAAAATGATTACACTAATGTTAAAATGACATTTTTATGTAATGCTTGAGTAAAACACTACTGTTCACTTTCAGAAGTTGTTGTAGGGGTGCTTTCTTATTAGAATCAGAATCGGAATGAGCTTTATTCACCACTTAAGTGTGCGCAAACACAAGGAATTTGTTGTGGTTTTACAGGAACTCTTGGCACATACATGCATACAAATAACCATATATATATGACACAAGATAGTTATAGAAGTTCACAGAACTGACTCAGCAACAGCTGAGTAAAACTGTTTCATCTGAGCATGTGGCACTTTAAGCATTATCGTATCGCATATCGAATATCACATTATTTAATGAGATATCGCATATCGTATTTTTCTTCAATATCGCACAGCCCTATTAAGCATACATTACCATTCCTGTCTGTGTAGTGATGCCTTATGGAATGTTTCTTCTAGAATAAGAAAAAGCATTCATTCAGTGGGCATCTATCTTTCTCTCTCTTTTCATTATCTCTCTCTCTCTCGCTCTCTCTTTCCCTCACTCTCTCTCTTCTCTTTCTTTCTTTCTCTCACTCTTTTCTTTCTCTCTCTTTTCATTATCTCTCTCTCTCTCTCTCTCTCTCTATATATATGAAGTATTATTGATTGAGACATTACGTAGCCTATTATTTTGAATTAGTTTTAATTTATTGTAAGTTTTATTATTAAGCATTAGGTCTGTGGAATATATCGAAATATCGCAAATGTACATATCGCAATATGCATATCGCTACAGCTTGCAATATTTGGGGCCATGAACAAAAGACAAAGAGAAAATCACTCACTGCTCTTACCTAAATAACTTTTGTAGCTTAAATAAGAATCAGTGCATATTGAATTCAAAGAGTAAATACTAAGCAGTGTTTTATTTTTCCTTTTTATTATTCAGTTCCTAAACTCATGTTAAAATGATTACACTAATGTTAAAATGACATTTTTATGTAATGCTTGAGTAAAACACTACTGTTCACTTTCAGAAGTTGTTGTAGGGGTGCTTTCTTATTAGAATCAGAAGCGGAATGAGCTTTATTCACCACTTAAGTGTGCGCAAACACAAGGAATTTGTTGTGGTTTTACAGGAACTCTTGGCAAATACATGCATACAAATAACCATATATATATGACACAAGATAGTTATAGAAGTTCACAGAACTGACTCAGCAACAGCTGAGTAAAACTGTTTCATCTGAGCATGTGGCACTTTAAGCATTATCGTATCGCATATCGAATATCACATTATTTAATGAGATATCGCATATCGTATTTTTCTTCAATATCGCACAGCCCTATTAAGCATACATTACCATTCCTGTCTGTGTAGTGATGCCTTATGGAATGTTTCTTCTAGAATAAGAAAAAGCATTCATTCAGTGGGCATCTAATAATTATTGAAAGGTATTTTATGTAATTAAATATTCTGTAATATGGGGAGACCATGGCTAGTTGTCTTGCTTTATGCTCCAGTAAAAAAACAAAACAACATTGCTCTTTTAACATATGTTGTCATGCCATGTGGGGTAAGTTGTCACAATGTAACCTGCCTCTAAACAGCTTGTTGTGGTTTTTGGCAACATTTAGATGGTGAAACAATTTTGAAACCCCAAATAAATAGGTAAAATGTAAAAATATCCTAACAAATATTTTATATGTATATATATATATATATATATATATATAAATAATTTTGATTGTTTTTATACTGAAGGGTTTATGCTTAATGTCAGTCTCTTGGGAATTAGAAATGGACTCGGCTCATCTGGGTTCCTATTAAATGTATGACAGTGTTTCTTTGTTTGTTTACCGTCAGCAAGCGGCTTTGTTACGCAAGCAACAAACCAGAGAGGCATAACTGGTTGCACAGTCTTGCTGGGAAATTTCCCAGCTAAACCTTTACCCCGCAAGTGTTTTGCTTCGAGATGTTTGTTAAGTCAGGTATGCAACAGTTGTGCTTTAGACATCTTGAAGGAGTCAAACCACTGAATTTTGACTGAAAAACAATCATTGTGCTATGTCCACAGACACAAGATTGTGGTTGGCAGTGTAAATACAGGTATTGTGTTTTTTGCAAGAGCTGGCTGACCTCACATGGGCTCAAACACACTCATCTAATGCAGCAGGTGATGTTATGCTTCAAGGTGTGATTTGTTGTGACTCGTTTGTGGCAATACAATCTAAAGTAGAGGCAGATGGTATGACTCTTGATTTGTTGAAGATGATCACTGTGAAACTAAAAGCATTTGAAAAATGAATCGAACAGAAGTGCATTTTAGTTATTTGGATCATACGTACTTGTAAATATATCTGAGCGGTGACTTGCAGTATTTTTGAAAATATTAATCAGTTTTATTTTCTAGTGATGTACAAAAGAAACTTTCTCAAACTGTCAAAAAATTATAAGGAAGGTATTATACCATCATATAATTCTTCTGTAATGCATATGCAGTTGCAGCAGTGGGCGGCCACTAAGATTAGACTTTTCACCCTGTAGAGTGTACAGGAAATCCTCTATGAAGTGTTATTAGTGTCCTGGATGGAGTCCATTGCAGTTGCTATGAGGTAAATTACCCCCTCAGATGATCCAATTAAGATCTCCCATCTGCCCACCCCCCCCACCCCCCTCTCCTTCCCTCTTTCAGACCTTTTGGTTTATGTGTTGTTTTTGGCACATACGGGAAGCAGTGTTAGGTACAATGTAATCAATCCACTCTTTTTGTCTATTGTGATCAAGTAACCTAGAAAAAAACCTCAGCACTGTCAGGACAAGGATATACACCGTTTTAAAGGGTCTTTTTGTTGTTTTTGCAGATTTGTTGGGACACACAATTACTCCTCAAGTTTGGAGAATTGTGAGTCATTATCATAAATATTCAGTTCAGCGCCAGACCCCCAAGAGCAGCACTTGAAGGCAAATGCCTTGGCGGACTTTGTAGCTATGAGTGTTTTTACTGAGAGAAAAAAATTAAACCAAACAATCCCATCTATTTTTTTTTGTTTCAATTTGACACATTTGCTTATTCATTTATTGCTTTTGGAGAGACCCGGCAGCTCTGATGAAGCAATAATTCATTCTTAGAAGAATGTTATAGGCTACATTCAAAACAATTTTTCTAGTAAATTTAATTCATTTCATGGACCTTGGATCTTGAACCCTTCTTTTCCCTCATATATTAAACTATGTTAAGTAGACTTCTGGCAAACAAATGCACTTTTGTTCTAGTATGTAAAGTATGTAATGCAGAATCATTACCATAAAGTAATAGCCGGAATCTAAATGAGTTGCCTTGACATTGCCTCACCTATCACAAGAAAAGCATGGACTTACTTCACGAGTCATGTGAAGTCAGTTTTTAATCTCATTTGGTAATTACTGTCATTCTTTCTCATTTAGTTTCTTTTTGTCCTTGTAGTACTTGAAAAATTGGGTGTTTAGTTAAGACCAAATCATAATTTTGGGCAGACTTTGTAACAGGTTACTTATTTTTGTATGTATGCCACTTACTGCAAAAGAAATTTGCATTTAATTCCCTTTTAGTTTTTCAGAAAATTATAGACTTATCCTGTTCAAACATGATATTTAAGCAGCCTTACTTGCAGACTATTTTAGTTTAGTTTTCTGTGATAAGAAAGTTTAAATGCCTGGGGAAGGAAAATGGAGGGTGGTGCAGATGTTTATAATCATTCCATGGAGTATTACTGGAACTTGTC